ACTTGCTATATTCAGTTCTAACCAAATCCTTTCAAAGGCAACAGACTCTGAGAGCTTGAAGGATGACTTACCTTTTTTATTACATCATTGAGGAAAATTATCTCTGTCAGTTTCATTGTCAAGTCATCTTCATTGGTGCCAGACTTCAAGTCACTCACAACAGAGGGTCTGATACACAGTGGAGGCACTAGGAGTCGTGTGAGGATCAAATCTGAAGGTTTACCAGCTTCTGGGTTCATCAGAAGCAGAGGGATGTCTTCTGCTGGGATTCTTTTAAAGATGTTCAATACTACCAAAGGGTTCAAGTTTTCCTACAAAAATCCATTGACGAATGGGGAGAACCAGCTGTCATGTAACAGTTTCAGTGCTTCCCTCCTCCCCTCATTTACTGACTGTTCTAAAATTAAGTATTTTAAAACGACAAATAGAGAAAAACTGTTCATGCAAACAAAACTGTTTTGGTCTATTTATCCCGAGCCAATGCTTTTAGCATATCAGATACTAACTTGCTATATTCTTTCCTTTCTTTTTTTCCTTATACATCAGTGTTTATTTCTCATCATGTTACTCTCTTTTCTAAGAAGTTAACTGAGAGTATTTCACATTTATTTGACAAAGCAGCTCAATAAACCTCTCACAGCAAATTCAGAGTACATTGCATTCATTTTATTAGTAGAAACTCACATGAATTACAGTACTTTCTAGACTATTTTTTAAAACTTCCTTTTTCTCTTAGTACAGCTACTGATGTAGTATAAGAAACTCCAGGTATTCACTACTTTTTCTGTCCAAATATGTCCCCTGAATCTTCTCAGCTTGCAAAGAGCCCAAGGAAACAAAACTGCACACAACGCAAAGCTGAGTGAAACAAAAAGGTTAGATAATTAAGTCTCCTCTCTCCTTCTCAACATTAAGTTCTTCAGAAGAAAAAAAATAATTCTGTGTATTGTAACCATCTGGGAGTTACAATACGTCTATATGTACATGCAGCATTTTTATGGGCCTGTATTTCTTCTCCCTTTTCTAGCTTATGGACGTAAAACACAACAAGAACATCCCCCCTCTTTACAGACAGAAAGCCATATATGAGAACATATAAGTAAACTAAGTTTCTCATTTTAGCATAGTTAACCTTACTGCAATAAATACAAACATTCTTCAAGTGTTTTCTGGTATATGAAAATCTTGGACCATCACAATGCTAAAGCTGCTACACTGAAAACCTTTGAGAAGTTTTATTTCATGCACAAAAACCAGCATAAAAGTTGTCATAATAGAATTCACCTGAGCTCTTCCCAGTAATGGTTCTACTTCTTTGTTATGTTCTATGGCAGTTTCAAAGGACTGGAGAAAAGTAGACACTATTGGATCCATGACTTTCTTATTCGTCTTGTACTTTTCATGTATTATTTTCAACAAACCACACTTCTTCACAGTTCCTGCAAGCAAATAAATGGGGGTTGTTTAGTTTCTTTTTTTAAAAAAAAAACCAAAACCACTAAGCTAAACTAGTTCTCACACTAAAAAGAGGACTAAGATGTGCCATTTATATATCATCCACTGTCATCTAAAGTAATTCTGGAAATTAATGGTCAGAAAAATCTGAGAAATATTTTTGTGTCATGCAGGTAACATTATTCATAAAACTTCCACAGACTAGTACAAATGCTTTCTAAACTCAATTCTTTTTACTGAAGTATGCTGACCTACCACTTAATTTTGTAAATGCCTATTGTTTGTTCCCCCTATATGTATATGTGACACATACAATGAAACAGCTCTCTATTTATCCAGGCTGTTGATCATTATAACAAACAACTCCTAACTTTCAGGAGTCAAAAACCTGAAGTTTTAAGTTCTGAATGAACCATCCATTATGAATTTCTAACATTGAAAGTGCTCTAACAGCAGTATCACTTGAACAGTATACAAGAAGAAAAAAAAAGTACTTTGAATAACAAATGCGAAAATCTGAAGATACTCTGCCCTGAAGAACAAATTCCAGTGTAACCCACAATCACCACAGCTTGAATAGTGCCAAACTGCAGAACATACCCTCTTAGAGGATGACAAGCACATCTAATCCTTAGAAAGATAATTTAATACAATGATGAAAAATTAAGGTAATTCAAAATTACAGTCTACCAGTGCTTCTATGTTAAGATACTGATCACTGACAGTAGCTCCCAATATTTTGTTAAGCAGAGGGATTTTTGCAATTATTCAAGTATCAAATATTGGTTACTGCCACAAAGAGGTACCACATGAAATAAACCATGCAACTAGGACAATGTCTATATCCACATAAATGAAATGTGATCAAGCACGGGCTTGGCATCAAGAAGGTAATTACCAGATTCTTTATAAGGGCCAGAGAGAATACTCATTAGTTGTGGATCGAACATGGACACTCAAGACTTCAGTGCCTATCACAGCCACCAAAGTAAAAACCATTACAGCAGATAGCCATCACTAACTGCTAATGTCAACACTCACCATTAAAGGCACCACAGTAAGGACAAGTGTTTTTCTTTCGGCACTTTTCAGACACTTTCTTTTTTAATCCTCTCTTCTGAAGGTATGTAAGGCCAGGTCGCTTCAGGTAATCCAAAAACTGTTTTTTTTCTTCCACCGACAGCATGATACGGCAACAGGTTTTGCAAATCATCTTAAATGTAAACACATATAAACGCAGTTGTTTAACAGACACATTCAGCCATGTAACGTCTTCTACTGTAACTTAAGTTCTTCAACAGAATGTAGTTCTTGGAATGAAATACAATGGTCTTAGTTGAAAGACCAATTCATATTCTGTAATACACAAAAAAACGTAGATAAAAAAAAAATACAGTCAGTGAGGCAAACCCTTATCTAGGCTCTCCAGGATCTTGAAGAACCATGTAGAGCAAAGAGAACTTTGATTTACTGGGATGTCCTAAACAGCAATTTATACTGCATACATTTAATTCAAACTACTGCAGAAAAAGAATGGATTGAATTAATCAGTCTGAGATTACATAAAACAAAATGGATATACTTATCTCACTAAGACTCGTATACAAATACTTTTATTTCACAGAATACATGATGCATAAAGATAAAATTTATAATACAACTTTATTTTGGTCTTCTCAATTACTCTTTGAAGCATCACCTTTCCTGATTTCCTTTTTCTAGACCATAAACTGACAACAAATCATAATTTTGTTTACCTGTAAGATGCCTATCACAGCTTTGAAATATCCAACATGAAAACAGGGCAGTTCCAAGTCAATGTACCCATAATGTCCTAAACAATCAGCTAAATTTTTTCCACAAGTTTCACAGGGACGGTCTTTTTCACTGGTTCCCTTTGGGAAGAGGGCAACACACACACAGAAAAACATTTTAGCTGTAATCAATTGAATACATAGAAAATACAACAATTCTTAAGCTAGTCAGCTATCTCGACAGCAGACCCTCAGCACTTACTCCTTTTTCCCAGCATAAGAAGCATGTCAACAGCATTACATTCACTCCCATTCTTAAGAAAAGCGTCTTTCACATGCAGGCCCTAGTGATACCAGTGACATTAACTCATACAGCTTCTGCAGCTGATCTACAGCCAGCTAACCTGCAGTATGTTATTTAGTAGAGGGATGTCTCTGGATCTCCCAACAACCAGGCAGAAATAACTTATCTCCTGCCTCCAAAGAATGCTTTCCTGAAATACCCAAAATCATGAAAAAAGTAGCTGTCACTGCAGCTGACAATCTATGCAATTCAAGAAGAGACACATTTGCATGTATTTTGAAAGAGCTGTAAATTTCAGTCACCTCAGCTAATTTTTAACCACTTCAGTTAATTCAAAAAAAAAGTCAGAAAAAAACCCCTCACAAACAGTTCTCACCATGCGATGGTCAAGTACTCCATACTGCAGTGGTGAATGATGGTTGTCTTGACTATACAAGTTTTTGCTCACCACTTGAATGTGAGCTTGCTGACGCATCTCCTCTGGAGATTTCATGCCAAAACAGATGTGGCTTCTAGAATGGAAATTTCACACGTATGTACGCACGCAAATATATGCAGAAATACTTGTAACTACAGACATACAAACACATATGTATTTAAAAGCAATGCAAAGGTGGCCAAGGTGGTTCACAGTATTGCTGAAGCAGGTTCTTCTTGGATAACTACCAAAAGCAGAGCAGCGAGTCGGTGGTTCGTGTATGGGGGATCTATCGACGTTCTTAGGCAAGCCTACAGCTGCCCCATCCCCCGCGGGCCGCCCGCAGCCTGAGCCGAGCCCAGCACGGCTGGGGAGGGCGCCTCCGACACCAGCGCTTTTAACCGTGAACGAGCCGCCTCATCACCCACCCTCCGGTCCCCTGGCCACCAGACTTCTTCCTAGACTCCTCCGTAGGGGCTGCGCCACAGCCTGGGATTTCGGCTGCTCGTCGCCACCACCGCCGCCGGCTGATCTCAGCGCGGGGCGCCGCCACAGCCCCGCCGTGCCGGCCGGCAGCGGAGCGGTCGCCCAGAAGCCTCCCGACCGACCCACTCACATTTTTTTGGCCACATCCGTCTCCCTGAACTGCTCCTTCACCATGATGGCGGTGGCGGCCCCTCAGCGCCCGGCGGCAGTACGCGCGGCGGCGCCCGCCTGCAGCGCCCCCTGCTGGCGCACAAGCAGGGGCCCTCCTCCCCGCCGGGGCCGCCGCAGCCGTGCCGGCAGCCCCGCCTCCGCCCGGCCGCCTCTCACACCGGCTCACGGCGCTCCCCGTGGCCGGCCGCGACACTGTTACAAGCCAACCACCACCCCTCCCCTAGATGCGCCGCCGCGCCCACCACACGGCTCCGCAGTTGGTTTCCCCGCAGGAGCGGGCGCTGGCCACCAGCAGCGGGTCGCGCCTCCCCGCGCTCACGGCTTCTCAGGCACAACTAAGGCACCCCGGCTCCGAAACGGGCAGCCCTACGCGCAGCTCCACCCCCAACACGAAGGCCCCCTGCGCCGCCTTATGATTGGTAGCGGCAGCTTGCATCTTCCTTTTCTGCGCTGGCTGGCCGGGAACCCGCCGCCGCCATGGTGAGTGTCCGGTGCCGCGGCATTGCCATCCACCCTGTGGCACCGCCATCCCGCCCCCGCCAGGCCTCGGAGCTCCCCAGCCCCCCTGGGGAGGCGTGCCTGTAGCGGCTCGCGGGGGTATGGCGGGAGCTGAGTGAGGGTTTCTCTCCTCTCCTCGCTCCGCGCCGCGACCCCAGCGGCCTGGCGGCGGTGCGGCTGTCAGGGGCGAGCCCCGCGGGCTGGCGGGAGCGGCCCTCGGCTTCGGTGGTAGCGTAATACCGCCTTTCTCATGGGGGCCTAAAGCGGCGCCGTAGGTTATGCCCGTCTGTTAGTCTGGTGGCTCTTCTTGCCTGGGACCATTAAGGGAGCAGCAGCGCGTGAGTTAAGGAGATTCGTCCTGTTGTAGTGCTTGGGCTTGTAACCAAGGCATTTCGTTAAAAGTTGCTTCGGCTTCTCCGAATGGCGGAGCTCTGGAGGCGGTCGTGTTTGGAGGCGGTCGTCAGTTGATGTGTATTCAAGAGTGCATATCGCAGTGTGCTTCAGAGGGGTACCACGCTGGTTAGGGTGTGACTTCGTTGTCAGCATTGGAGGAGCTGTTGACTGTTGTTGCACTGTGTGTTAATTTGAACTGTACGTGTCATCATTGCTGTGTCTTTCTATTTTTTCTTGCAGAATGACACGGTGACCATCAGAACGAGGAAGTTCATGACAAACAGACTGCTTCAGCGCAAGCAGATGGTAAAAGGATACAGAAAATTGCCTTTAGCGACTTGTCTCTTAGTTCTGGGCTGCAGTGTTCCTTAGCCACCATAAGGAAGGGGCCCTTAAAATCTCAGATTTTTTTACTGTAAGATCTTACAAGCTTAAATGTATTGATGCATGCTGAAGGTCAGTCTTGATGGTGAGGTATTGAGCTATTTTGTCTTTTGAAGCAGGAAACTGTTATGACCACTTTTGTATCGAACTAATAATACTTTCTGCTGCTAAGGTGGGTTGGTTTCAGTGTTAAGCTCACGTTAAGAACTGTAGCACCTGACTTGCACTGGATATTGACCTTTTGTTGCTCTTATACAACTTATGAAAATTCTTTCTTAGGTGATAGATGTTCTTCATCCTGGGAAGGCCACAGTCCCCAAAACAGAAATCAGGGAAAAGCTGGCAAAAATGTACAAGACGACCCCTGATGTAATTTTCGTCTTTGGCTTCAGAACTCACTTTGGTGGTGGCAAGACAACAGGTTTCGGCATGATCTATGATTCTCTGGACTATGCAAAGAAAAACGAACCAAAGCACAGGCTTGCCAGGGTAGGGTGTTTTCTGCTAACTTGAAAGCAATTAGTATGTATTTGAAGTATTTAGTGGTTCATGATTTACATGTATAAAAGTTTTGTGAAGGTACTGTTGGTTTACTCAGTTATATATGAGGTCTTAAAATAGTATAGGCTAACTTTTGCATTTGCTAAAAGGTTGTTTTTTATTGTTGATTATAGGGGAATTACGAAGACAAAATTGATGTTGCCAGCGATATTCAGCAGTAATAGATAACTAACCACAATTAAAAGTCTTGAGGAATTATAATAAATGAGACTGGTACATGGATTACTTAAGTGCTTATATTCTGTCTTGTATCATGTATTAAGTAGTGAACTTGTTTCACTACTTAGTTAGTATTTCAAATTTACATGGTATTTGAAGAGTCCAGATATACTAAAATTCAGAAGTGACTGAGTGAAGCAAAGTTAAATGCAATTTTAACTGTTTTTTAATAGCATGGCTTGTATGAAAAGAAGAAGACTTCTAGGAAGCAGCGAAAGGAGCGTAAGAACAGAATGAAGAAAGTGAGGGGCACAGCCAAGGCAAATGTTGGTGCTGGCAAAAAGGTAGGATGATAATATATGAAAGCTAGAGTGAGCATGTTGCCTTTCAAATGCTGAATAGAAATTTTTCAACAGAATAACAATGTTTTTTTTCCATTTCCTTCACCTCTTCTACTGGATAACAGAAGGTAATCTGTGGTGTTGTATAGCTTGTTACCAGCTCTGTAGCTTAGTTTTGCTCCTCACTGCTGCAAGCTGAGCTGATACAACATGAAACAATGCTTCTTAAATGTTTTTTTCCTACATATCACCTGAGCTAAAGTTAAACATCGGTAAATCTAACAGTATTGCTCTAATCTCAAAACTCACCCTTTGCAATATACAAACTAGGTAGTCTTAACACTTGTTACTCAGATTGCCTAAATACCTTATGCTCCACCAAGTTAGTGGTACTTATGATGTTATTTATAGAGGAGATTTTGATAAGGACATGTGGTGGTGTAGGCGTTGAGGACAGTGTGTAAATAGAAATAAGGTAGAATGCCTGCTTTATCCTGGTTTTAAGTGACTGACTTCCAAGATACTTTTTTTGTTTGCTCTGGTGGGAGCTTCTTATGCTGTGGCTAGAACTTGATACAGGCTTGTCAGGTGTGCAGCTTACAGGGAGACAGAGTTCCTCTATCATTTAAAAAAAAAAAAAAAAAAAAAAACCAAAAAAAAAAACACCACCAAAACTGGAATAGCCTGGGTGTGAAGACAAGTTACCTTCTCTAGCAGCTTTTTGTCCTCTGAAAAATGTTGAGTAAGCTGTTCAGTAAAGTGGGTTTTTTCAAGTGTTTTAACAAGGAGAGGTAGGGTGATGGGTTTTGATGCTTAGCTCTGTAGCTGCTTGAGTGCTTTGATATCTTGAACTTTAGTAATCTTCACTTTTGCTTTTTTCTATTTTCTTGGAATTCTCCATCAGAAATGAAGTATCTAGAAGGTACTGAAAATGAGCATGAATGTGGTGACTGAATTATACATCAGTGAAACACGTCTGTCCTTTTAATGAAGCACTGTACTGCTTTGCATGCGTGCATGTTGGTTTTAAACTTGCTTCTGTCCTATAAAGGTTTAGATAACTAAATAATGAACTTTATTCAATACAACTTAGAATTAAAATTTGGCTAATAGCAAACGAGATTTTTGTAACTAGTAAAACAACATTAAAATAAGGAAATCCAAATAAGAAATGAAATAAACTCAGTGCTGTTGATTTGAGGCACTGGCTCGAAACATCCCGGGTTCTGATTCAAAGTAGTACAGTGCAATTGCATGTGTAACTTCACCTTTGTGTGAAAGTAGTTGTGCATCTTCATGAAAACCAAGTCATATCGCAGCTGTGCATTTGAGAGAGTGGTTGGAAACAATACAGTTCTCAGCATGAAACTGTATTTAACTATTGACCTGCACTATTCCAAGTTACAACACAAACCACAGTGATTGCTCCATGAAATTAGATTCTTCACTTACTGTGTAAGTGAAGTTCTTGCTGTTGTTGGATAGAAATAAACCAGTGTTGCTACGAACTACTAGATAAGATGTGGAACCCTTCTTTCTGCTTTAATTCTGTTTTAGTAGTGAAGTCTTACAATTGTTTACAGTAGAACAGCACAAATTCTCATTTGGTATAGTAGAAACACTAACATAAAACTTGTTGTCAGTGTCAAGGTAATGGTTTAGTGTTGCACCAGTAGTATGGATGAGCTGCTTCTCTTAAAGAATTTTGTGCTTTAAGGTAGCTATTACTGAGTGTTCATACCAAATGGTTAAATGATTGTCACTTGAATTACTAAAGCTGTCCATCCAGTTCATAGAAATTCTCTTAAAGTGTATAAACACTCCACAAATCAAGACCAGGATTGTGTGCTGCGATAATTCTATAGCAGATGCGACTTCTGTATCGAGTGTTTCTCAAACTAGCACACAATCTCAGTAGTAGGTGAACTGGTTTGGATTCGAGGTTTTCTTATGTCTTTTAAAATGATCTTTTAGTTGATAAGTATGCATGTTTTAGATCTTATTTGTTCACCAGTTTTGTTAATCTTTGTCCTCACATTAGTCTTAAACTAACTAAAACCAAATTAATATATGTGCTTTCTGGAAAACTTAGTTTAGAGCAGTTCTGTGCTCCATCGCAGAGGAAAAAGCTTGTGGCATTCATTTGTGTCTTAAAGGTTTGTCTTGAAACATGCATGTTTAAACATAATGGTCTGGCATGGTTCAACATCCATTATCACAGCCTTGTGGAGGAATTTTTAGTAGGGGTCTTGGAATATGTTTTAGAGTCCACCCACACAACCTGTGAAACCTGTTTATCTCAGAAATGTGTAGGCACTTGATTCTGAAACGTTTTCAGTCAAGTCTGTATTGTTCTAAGAGTTATGTACCATGTGGTCATGAAAACTATTGAAATAGTGCCTCATGCTAGTTCTTATTGAACTTTTAAGTCAGACATCAACTGTGCTGATGTCTGACTTAAAGTTTTGGTGCTTCCTTTTACTTGTCAGTTCTTCAGAATTCCCATTCTATTTTCCCTTCAGTTTCAAGAAGAAAGCACTTTAGTTTGTGTTACGTAATATATTCTGTACCTGTGTAGTTTGAGCTCATGTCCCTCACCTAGTGTTTGCATTCAGAGAAGTGACTCATATAACTGGGGATATTGAAATGCAAAAACCCCACCCTACCCGTTAATGTAACGACTGTAGTTGGGACAGCATTTGACATGTGAGCCTTCTGAATAGAAATGTTTTTTTTAAAAAACTGGATCATAGAGAAGTGTGTGTGGATAGGCACTTTAAGCCATTCGTAGCCTGTAGGTATAATTGAACATGCAGTTGTATTACAAGTATTACTTAAGCTCTATCAGCTATTGTCAGGTCCCATTTTGAGTTTGAGAGAATGTGAAATGTAACTCTTCAGCCTCTAAAGTAGTCAAAACTTTTAGGTTTTCCTATTACATTTCACTGTGGTAATTGAGAAAAGCATATTGTGCTAGTAAAAAGTCTCAAAGCTCCATCTACAGTAGTAGAATTTTGATAAAACTGTTTTCTTATCAATTAATGTTTTTATTTTTCAGTAACTAAACATGCTTCAGATGGAAAATGGATAACAGGTATGACTTAATGCTTCATAAGGTAGACATTCAGTGGTCTGTATTCATTATGATGACATAGGTCTCATGTTGATTTGCACAAAGACCATGGTGCTTGTACTGATGCAGAACCCAGTGCAAGAGTTTAAGACTATGACAGACTTGAAATGTTTATAAATCAGTTATGCTTACTACTCAGTTGATAATTTGTGTGATTTCCACTTAAGTGAAATGCTTGATTAGTAAAAAGACTGAAATAATAAATGAGGCAGTTCAGAATTACTGTTGCTAGAACTGTTGATTACTTAGTCTTACAGTAAGCAAGGCTTGTATTTTCCTTTCGTAGGTATGTTAAGGAGAGAATAGTACACCTTGCTTTTTATTGTCCTAAATAGATTGAAGTAGTATGATTCCTGTTTTGAGGACAAATCTTTGTTTTCTTACAGATACTTATTTCAAGTAAATTCCTTATAAGCAAACCTATACGCTTTTAGACAAGTCCTAGAATGTGTTTATATCTTTGCTGCTGAAACATAAATGAGTTGGATGTGCTGTGGGCAGTAAGTGTTACAGACAAAAATCTGGTTTTATTACAAATGGCTTGAATGAGTCAGTTGCTTTCAACTTAAACAGTCTGTCTGGGAGCTGATGTAGTGAGTATAACGTCTTACATAGAAAGCTGGCAGAGCAACTGTAGTTTGTTGACATCTTCAACAGAAGTGATGTGATCTAGGCTCTCATTCTTCTGACAGTACCGTGAAATTTTGAACGGTATGTTTTTTGAAGAAAGGCAGTGTGGTTCACCTGACTTGTTTGGGAATCAATTTTTCAGGCTCTATAAAGGTATGAGTGTAAAAACTGTTTTAATTGTGTGGCACTGATCTATCTTTTCCTTTACAGACTATGTTATTCTATGAAGAAGTGTAGAAAGAATTATTCTGGAAAGAAGCTGCTCATCTGGCTTTAACATCAAATAAACTATGTCAATAAAATGCTGGTTTTCCCTTTAGTTTTGATTTGAAAGCTACCATTTTGTAAAATTTTAGAAATTCCGGATTGGTGCACTGTTTGCACTGTATTAAAATCTTTTCATAATTAAACAATTCTTGTTTTGAGTATCAGTTTGAAGTGAATTGGAGCTTTATACAGGTAGTAGTATAACCTAATTCCAAGCAGGCAACATTAGTTCATGGAGGTAGGTATGCTTTTGCCATCTAGTGTTCTAACTGTGATTTGGGAAGTCCTTTTAAGATGTGCTTGTTTGACTGCTTATGCTATATAGACCTGTAGAATACAGCTGAAGGGAAAATAGAACATGTAGGCAGAGGTATTCAGAGCTTCGTACTACTGCAGTTAAGGTTTTTGTTAATGAAGGAGTCGGGCATCACTTACCTTTTCCCGAGTTGTCAGGGCAGGCTCTGGGGTCTGACTCTGGTCTGCAAACTGCAGTAGACGGCTAACTTTTCAGCTGGTAGTGTTAAAGGAGTCATTTAAGTTTGGATCAGTGGCTGGATGAGGCATACTGTACGCTAGGAATGTGGGCATTCTGATGCAGGTGTTTCATGTAGGTGTTTCAAAACAGAAGTTTTATACCTTAAATAGAACTGAAATAGAGTGGGCAGCTCTAGCGGCTGTGCTGATGAATGCTCTGACTTAATTATTTAACTACAGTATTTTTTAATTGTACTACCTTTGTTCTGAGGCAGCATATAATAACACAGGTAAGGCATTTTTAGTGCTTGGGGGCAAACCCATCAACCCTATAGTCAGAGTTGTTAAAGTGGTTGCAAGGGGGATAGCATTGTCGTAAACTTCCATACAAGATCTGGTAAGTATAGATAAAGCACTTAAAGCCTCTTCTAGTATCTTCAGTTTGAGTCTGGGAACTAGTTTTTAGCTGTACAGTAAATTTTCTGTACCTCATGCTGTAGTGTTTCTGCCTTTATTGATGTTATTCGGGATTAGTAGGCAGTTGCCCTGGTGAAAGGATAGATTCTTCTAAACAGTTTCTTCTAAACATAGGTGACTAAGGTGGACTAAGGGCATGGTGAAACAGTAATTGCTTGTAAAATAGTTTTAATTCTGAAGTTGTGTGGAAGTTAAAAGGCTTTTTTACTTGGTAGCCAGACCTTCAAAGGTAAGTAGCTATTGGATATTCTTGCCAAAGTTTGGAAGTATATTAAATTCTGAAGAACTGCTATAGGGGTATTAAAAGTCGTATTTGTGTACTTTGATGCAGTATGTGCACTGAACTCTAGAGTCTGTAGATAGGTTTTGAATAAGTAACAGTAAATTCCTGACAGTCAAAGATTCAAAGGGATATGGAGCAAATGTTAAGTGCATAAGGCTTAGAGTTAGAACCCAAATGTGTTTTTAAAGGTAATACCTGCAGTATATTCTTCCTGTATATCGTGTTCAACATCAGAGGTGTAATGCTTTTAAGTATGATTGAACAGTCACTAGGGGGTGGTGTGAATATAGCAATACGAATACAAGGAAGACTTCCACAGCAATTTTTCATGGAACAGGCTGAAAAGGAGGCTGAATTGTCCTCTTACAAAGAGGTCAACTTTGAAAATACGCTGTAAAAATAATTGTATTTAGGATCTGAGGCTATAACTAATGTTTTTGTATCACTGATTCTTTTTTGAATTCAGTGGAAACCATCAGTTTCAATGAGGACCATACAGTTAGTGTTTTCCAAATATTTACTACTTTAAAGGTCTAGAGTGCTGGCACAAATTCTAGTTGCTCTTTTCAGAAGCCTCCTTACCTTTGTTTTAAGCAATCAACAGAGAATGCATAAATAATTGCTGGCATAAAGATAAAATAATTGCATAGTCTCGATGTTTTGACTTTATAAACAGTACTGTTCCAGGAGGCACATACCTCTTGAAGCAAAACTTAGTTTTCAGGTTGAAGTAATAAAGGTTCCCTCTTCCATTTTGTGATATCTTACATGCTATCCATTACAGTGCATTTATGAGGTACAGTAACTTTTCAAAGCAGACTGATGGAAATAGGCTGTCTTATTACTTGGTGCCATAAGTTGATATTTGATGCCCCATTTTGATTATTTAAGATGGAAAGCAAAAGGTGTGTAGTGAATCCCTAGAACAATTGACTGTTTTCTTGTGTGGTTAGGTTATCCCCACATATCCACAAGTTGTACTCATGCCTTGCAATATGAGGCATTAAGCATAAAGAATGGGAAAGAGGACGGGATGACATTGTGAGCTGGAGTTAACTGATCAGATGAGATAACCTGTTTGAGTTTTTCAGTTCTGCTACATTCTGTGACGTGGCTGTCCTTTTCTCCTACCATTCCACTTGGAAAATGGCAAGGAACTGAATAGCTGTCATCTGAAATCTTGGTTTTTCAATGGTGGAGACATAAGCAGCCCTTCATGTTAGTTCCTGTTCTGCCAACATTTTGCCTTCATACACTACAGTCTAAGCAATGTGTAGCACATGTTCTGTAATTCAGAAGTTTAATGCACATGTCAGGCTGTGAAGACTAGGTTAATCCCCTTTCCTGTGGGAGGTAAAGCAATTAAGTGAAAAGGGTTGATGAACAGGAATTTTCACTTCTTACCCTACTGTGTGCTGAAGGTACCCTTGTATTTCCTGCTGATCTTGGCACATCCTGTCATCTATAGGTTGTAGTTTTTGTCACTTTTGCCTGCTTCTAGACTTTGGCCTGGCCCTCATATTTAAAGATCAGAAGTATTTTATTGATTTGACCAGTCTAGAGCCCAAATTAGACTCAAGGATTTTTGGAGAGGGAACTTCTAAATTAAACCATTGATGAGTAATATCAACGTACATGGGAAGACTTTCATTAACTCTTTACAATTTTACCATAGCACTTGAGTTGTATATTTTTGTTTTGTTGTTTTTTTTGTTTGGTTGGTTTTTTTCACGAGGGATATAACTAACATAGAAAATGGTTGGCTCTTTTTGTAGAAAGGACTCAAAATTTTTTAGGCTGACAAGAATAAATGAAGTCTTTCTGTGCAATACTTGAAAAGCTGTGCAGAAGCCTCAGGGCTTGACTTAATTGAAACTGGATCAAGTACTCCAACATCCTGCTGAGGTTCCACCTCTGTTCAGTGGGCTATATAAGGCACAGCCAGGTCATGGTGGCTTCTGTCTGAAAGAGGTTGTAGTCTACAAGGCAAAGGACAAACTACAGCAGATCAAAGGAGGGTTTACCAGGGAAGCAGAGTGTTGGCATCATACAAGAAAATAACTGATCCAGATGAAAGATGGTGAAATATGACATAGCTTGGGCAATGAGGTTGTTTTGTCTAGGGAGCAGCTTGTAACAGGCTTGAGAACAAATGTTGAGGGGAAAAAATGAAGCTGATAACATCAACAGGTTGAAATAAATGAGGCATAGTATGCTATGAGCAGACTGCAGTACCAGTAAGCAGAGGGATAGAAGGGTGATACGGGTTTTATTCATAGAAAATGTGTCATTTGAGGAATAAAGTATGCAGGTCACTATTAAATCTATTTGCAACAGTCACAAAAAATGAACTTGTCTGTATCCTAGTCAGTTCTGGTAAAAAATTAATGTCATTAGTTTCCTGCACAGGAAATACAGCATTGTCCTGTAGCAGCTGTTGATACTAAATTCATACAGTAAGTTGAAAATTCTAGTTGTGAATGCTCACTAATAATATGCTTCTATTTGAGTGAAACTAAGCATGTTGAGCCTTTTTTTGGATGGATATTTTGGTGGTGCTAAGAGACCAGATGAGAACAATTAGTATTTTTGCTCTGAATGCTGGTAAAGTTTCATCTGAGCAGCAGAACTTTCCAGTATAGGTGGCAAATGTTTCTTTTGTTCATTGTGTTCCTAACACAGTAGCCATAAGACTGAGTTACTTCTATGAACACATTTGTTAAAATGTCTCGAAGATATAAAATGGAAAGGTTTAAGGTTTAACAAGTCAGTGTTAGGAGTAGGCACGTTCTAGTACATTAATCCTTTTGGACTCTTTTGCTTTAAAGGGAATAAGTGGAAACTTAATCTTATGTTTGTTGCTAACATTTGTGTACTCTAGTTATGTCTTAAAATTCCACAGTGGGTTTTTTATCCTCATCTGGAATTCAGTAAGGTTCCTTACTTAAATTTAGTCTTTGCTCTCTGTAAAAGCTGTGGCTAATGAAACAGCTCCAGAAGTGGCTAAAAGACATCCTGTGTGCTAGAAGATCACTGTGTTTTTTCCAATTTTATTGGCCATTGGCAACCAGTACTACTAATAAAGCTCCATAACTGTTGTTCGTACACAGAGATCTTAAATAAGGTCAAATAGTGTGCTGAGGCAGGAGGATGTTCAGAGCATCTGTGGCTTCTGTTAGCACAGGAGATACACACCCAGCAAAAACTGAGTGCAACGCTTCACTGGGGCAGATGATAACGGTTTGTACTTGTGTTCATTGGGTTAAAATACAGTTTGTTATCTAATGAAGCTGGCCAGACAGCAAACTGACCTGCATTAGGAGAAACATGCTTCACTGCCTTTCATGATGATCTGATTTGATTGTACTGGAGCTGCTACCCTGCTATCATTTTCTGTCAATTTTTGCTAGCCTGTTTGTTAAGCCAGGCATCATTTGTGTTGATTTGATAACAGGTTTCATTCACTGATAATAAAACTTTTCTGCAACAAATGACCTCAGGTCCGTAGCTCTTGCACAGTGTTGGCTGTAAGTAGAAAATTGGGACTGACACTTTCCTTTTTCAATGCTTTCTATCTGGTTTAACAGCCAATGTCAAAATCATAACGGAAGGGGCTTGATATCTTTAAATTAAATGGGTGAAGATGTCTGTTAAAATGTTTGTCAATAGTTTTTGCATAGTTTGTTTCACTGTTTATAGTTTGATGGATCGTGCTACAGATAAGTGGAATTAAGACATTTTATTTTTTTAAAGGCAGCAAGAGGGGTGTTATAAAAATCAAGATCTGTCAGAACTCATGTT